TGTGTAATTTTGTTTTTTAAGGTACTATGTTAGTATTATTTTTATCAATTTAAATATTTTCATTCGCTTATGAGCATTATCACAGCAAGTTTATATTTTTGCCTTTGTAAAGAAATATAGTCATTTTCGTGAAACTGTGTACTTTCACTTGGTTTTAAATCGTCAAATTCTTCCCATATTCCCTCTTTATGGTAATACACTGTAAAATAATGAGGTACCTCTCCATCTTCGAAGGCTATGACTCCTGCAGTTTTAAAAGATTTTCCATGTATTGTAATTTTTTTAGGTATTTCTTTCAATGCGGTAAAAGGTGATTGATTTACTGATAAGTTATAATGTTTACTCTTACTCAAATTTTTAATCACCGCAGTTCTGTAAGTATCCTCGACATCAATGAATATGAAAGAATTAATACAAGAATGTAAAACTGCCGTACTTTTTTTACAAGAAATACAATACATGCTTTGACGATCTTGTAAACTTATTTTCACTTCTTCCTCTAATGATTTTATTCCATTATTAAGAAAACTTGACCATCCCACTGGTACAATAGAAATATTCTCTTTAGTTGTTTTATTACATAAGGTACAAGATAATACTTTGAAAATTTCAGTTGTAGATCTTAAAAGTTTTGAAATCAATGTAGTTACACTATACCTACAATTTAGACTAGTAATCATATCAACTTTTGCTTTTGTTATCTCCAGCATAATTTCAAAACGACGTTTTCTTAAAAATTCCAATGAACAGTTATTTAATGCGTAATCGTACAATAACTTGAAAACATCTAAATTGTCGTTTGATGAATAAGAAGCATGAAAATAATTTTCGAATTCTTTTTGTTTTAAAACTAGCTGAATAAAAAGTTCCAGAATACTGTCTATTGGACAGGTATTGTATACTGCAAAACACCGACCATTATACAATAAAGACTTATCTCCATTTTTTATAAATGTGTGTCTAGATAAGTTTGCATGAATCGTTTCAGCAGAAGTTAAAGATGTGTTGTTGACAAATTGTGTTTTTAAGCCTTGACTACGTTTTGCAATTGTATCTGATGTATTTTTAGAATTTATGATGCTGTATAATGCTGAATCTGAGCTACCAAAATTTATAGTAGAAGGTTCATGTATTGAAACTAATTCTTCAATATCTATAATTGTATTCTGTTCTAAATCAACGCAGTTATAGTTCTCTTTTCCTTGGCCCATCCAATTCTCTGTTTGAAATAAATAACTATCATCCAAATTATTGTCATAGTTTTCCTCACTATTAAGAGCGTAGTCTGATATTTTATTGACTAAATGATTTGTGTCATTAACATACTCTCTGAAAAAGTTATCAACATCCAGTTTTTTAAATATTAAATTATTAAATACTGAACGTGATTTGTCAAATGAATGCGTTGACATCGACCATCTGTTAGATGAATTACCTAGTAAATTTCTCCACAGAGGAACATGAGAGCAAAACAAAATAAATTCATCCACGAAGTTGGGACACGCTAATGCGTTTGGTATGCCTGAAAAGTCATCTCCCTTACTACAATACAAACTGCAAGTTTCAAAAATATTTTGAAAATACGTTGTAATTTCATTCGGCACTTGCACGCAATCAATGATGTTCTTCAAATTGCTTAAATTTTCTTTTTCAAAATTACTTTCTTTGAATTTTTCAAGTAAATAAGTTCTGTGTTGTGTGCAATAATTATTTTCGTAGTCACTGTTTAATAAAATTAATATTTTTTTGGCATCTTCAATAAATAAATTCGAATTCTTTATAGTACCTAAATATAAAGCGCATCTTTCATAAAAAATTTTTACGCTTTTTTTCTCAAAACAATTCAACTCATCAAACCATTTACTCACGTGAGTCATCTTGATTCGAACATAACATAAAGAATGAGAACTTTTTTTATTTGTCAAAAAATTGAAACACAATAAGATGTATTCTGTATAAGTGATACTTGAGTTTAGTGCACTGACTACTTTTGAAATTACGTCTAGAAGGCAAGGACAGTATATTTCTTTAGGTCTGGTAGCACCAGATCTTAGCCACTCAGATAACCATAGACATATTTTATTTGAATTCTCGCTTAACATTTGAGAAAAGAATAAGATTTCGTTTGTTGAATGACCTATTATAACATAAAAATCTATAATTTCACTGTTATATTCACCTATAACGGTTTTATTCACGCACTTAGGAAATATTAGCAACTCTAAAAATAACAAATCTTTTGATACCTGTTTATAGAGAATAATTTGTTCTGGACACCAGAACATGAAAACAAAACTTATACAGCTCGTTAATCTAAAGTACTGTCGGTATCCTATGTCAAACCTCATGGAGTTTAATTTATCCATCGCATTGTCCTTTTTTTCGTCTTCTTGGTAGCAACTGTTGTCGCTATCAGTTTCTTCTAACGAACCTTCTAAATCTTCAAAATAATCATCTTTTTTATTCAAATCATCATCATCTATATTCTTGCATGCTTTATCTAGTACAGTTTTACTCTCGCTTGGACAATTTTCTTCGAACGACTTGGGCTTTGCGATGCATGCTAATAAGTTATCTTTTACTCCGAAAAGATTCTGTTTCACATATTCGTATAAATTTCGTACATTTTTACCAAGTTCTTCACTAGCTTTACTCCATAAAGGATTTTTTTCCGGAAGTAAACAACCTTCATTGTCAAATAAATTAAAATTATTAAGTACACTTAGTCGATAGCTGTGATCTACAGCGCGTTTCCCCGGCGGCATTACTAACAAGTGACAGATATCCTTAATATTCAAAAATTAGTTATAATTGAGAGACTACGTGCAAAAAACTTACTACATGGAAATTTTATTTAGAAATTGTAACCCGGATCACTACGATTAAAGCTACAATTTTTTCAGTAGTGTTACGAATTTTGGACAAGTCAAAACTTGAAAGGGGTGCCTCTGCCTCATAGCCTTATATATTTTAATCGAACTAATAGAAAAGGCGCCATCTGTATTTCGACTATTTTGGTACTACAGTTCGGGCGCAAGAGCCCGCATGACGTCACAAGAAAGCGCCAAATACAAACATCCAAGTTTTTAAAATAGTTTTATGATTTTTTACGTTGAATAGATAATTTTAAAAACTTTTTTTATCATAAACCAAACAAAAATTAATTAGGTTTCAATATTCTATTAATCAAGCTTCACTAGACAATTTGTTTTAATTGGCTACTTTTAATAAACTTCATAGTAAAATTACCTCCATTGTAAAAATATATTACAAATAAACAATGAANACTGGCTTTTTGCCAAACAGCATTTGACTTAGCTAGTAATTTTTCCGTCTCATCATAAATCACCATATTCTGCAGAATTTCAAACAGCTGATCAACCTGTACAGCTGGATTTCGAGGCATTGTAGCTATGTTTACTTCTGAAATCAATTAGAAATATTCAGATGTGTCAATCTTATCTGCAACAACAGCTTCTGGCGCGTCGAAATACAGAGTGAAATTTACGAATGTCCTGTGAATACTGTTAGCTGGTTCGATGATTGTTCAAAGAGCTATATTTACCTCTGACTTTGCCCTCTTACAATTAGTGTCCTCATATTCATTACTTAACTCATAATTCTTTGTTTTAGTATGCTGCTTGTGTCCTAAAAAAATAAAATTATTGTAATAATGCAAAAAGCAAGTCCTGAATCCTAAATATATCATGATGATTTGTAACCGTGAAAACCCATAACCAACAAAAAAAAAATTTCTCACCATATCACAATTCTTATGTCATCAGGCGTTGCACTGATATTTTATTCTCAGAAAGCATATTTTTTTACTTCAAACAAAAAATAGAAAAAGTGTAGCGATCTAAGAATAAAAGTTGCCGCGCAGGTCAATCAGCTGATCGCTGACTGCTTCTTCGTACCTGTCATGATGCATGTAGATATAGATATATGAGAGTACATCCGAGCTCGTCTGGACGAGATTCGTTGAAAAACGTGAAAAACACCCGTTACTACTTTATTTTGATTGCTTACCTCTGATATCGAATATTGTTTGGAATCCGCATTTGAGGAGAAAACGATTGATTACTGTACTGTATTGATTACTTTTGATTTTAAATGATTTCTATCGATGTGAAGGATTTATTTGGGAACGGAATAGGACCAAAAAGTCACTAGGGAAAGTTACTAGAAATTTTCCCCACTCACGGCCATAATATTAAATTTATTATTTGCTAATTTTATTGCATTCACATCGATCAACCACTTTATATATGCAATCCACAAAAGAGGAGGAATCGAATTCTGTAGGCAAAATTTTCTTTTAACAAAATCTAGCACCTGAAAAAAAGGTTTTTTTATTCCAGCGCCGCGCCAATTTTCACAGTTTTCTTTTGCAAATATCTCGAGAACTAGTCATTCGCAAATAAAAATACAAGTGGAGAGAATTTCGGCAAATAAGGAGGAATCGTTCAAGCCTTGAACAATTACGCAATGTCAATGTTTAATATTTGCGGGCGCTAACTTCACAAGTCTGGATCAGTAGACTAAAGCCAGCTGGCGCAGCTATTGCAACCTCCCAATCGTTGGCAACGTGAGAGAAAGACATATTTACACGTTCGGTATTGTGTCTCTTACTATTTGTGCTTCATTGCCGACACAAGAACGAGCAGTCTATTTCTTATATATCTATGGTCTTACACAGTACGAACCTTTTTTGCGTGCATATTTCGTATATGTCTATGGATTTACCCACTCCTGGCCTGTCGCTTAACCACTTCATTTTTTAAAAATTGGCAAATCAAGGAATTAATCTTATTGAGAGTCTTAAGTACAAGAATGCTATTCGAAATAATACTATTTTATACAAAATTAATACCCTGTATTTCGCTTTCAGTCTTGAATAGTGCTACTTGAAATATCGAGTACCTAGAACTTAACGTTAGAAAAAAAAAATAAAAATTTGTATGATTGCTCGAAATTCAAATGTTCTTAGAATTTTGGACCGCCTTTCCTAGAATGACATGTTCAATGTACAGAGTTTTTGTACAGTAAAATTTTCTGAATTGTTATTTACTCAAACTGATGAAAGTGATTAACGTTTTCATTCACATTAACGTAATTACGTGGATATATGTTGCGAATAGACACTACGGATCAATGGGTCAATGTAAGTATTTAAATTTCTTAATGTTAAGAGATTTTGTGATAAAAGAAAATATTTATTGCTGCTTACGACATACCCAGTCGTTGTCTTAGTCCAGAAGGTTAGCCAATAAAATACATTTATGTATACTAAATGCTTTAAGCTTCCTCGTCATGTCATACTGATTGTTTACAATGGCTGAACTGGTGATCAGCAAAATTACGTCTTGCCATGAAAGTGTGTGCTACTATTGATACATTTCACTCCCACTACTTACCTGTCGATATTTATTTTGAGAAAATGATAGTAACATTTTAAACAAGCTAAAATACTAGTTTCTTAATATTTTTATAAATATTTTGCTTGCCTATAAGGACGCTTGGGCGTTTGGTGTNAAAGTGTGTGCTACTATTGATACATTTCACTCCCACTACTTACCTGTCGATATTTATTTTGAGAAAATGATAGTAACATTTTAAACAAGCTAAAATACTAGTTTCTTAATATTTTTATAAATATTTTGCTTGCCTATAAGGACGCTTGGGCGTTTGGTGTCGTATCTACTGAGGAGCCCCTGTGGGGTACTTGTCATACAAATGATTCTTTGTAATATTTTTTTAATAATCATTTTGATTATAGGGGTAAGTTTACTTATTTGAATTCTCGCTTAACATCTGAGAAAAGAATAAGATTTCGTTTGTTGAATGACCTATTATAACATAAAAATCTATAATTTCACTGTTATATTCACCTATAACGGTTTTATTCACGCACTTAGGAAATATTAGCAACTCTAAAAATAACAAATCTTTTGATACCTGTTTATAGAGAATAATTTGTTCTGGACACCAAAACATGAAAACAAAACTTATACAGCTCGTTAATCTAAAGTACTGTCGGTATCCTATGTCAAACCTCATGGAGTTTAATTTATCCATCGCATTGTCCTTTTTTTCGTCTTCTTGGTAGCAACTGTTGTCGCTATCAGTTTCTTCTAACGAACCTTCTAAATCTTCAAAATAATCATCTTTTTTATTCAAATCATCATCATCTATATTCTTGCATGCTTTATCTAGTACAGTTTTACTCTCGCTTGGACAATTTTCTTCGAACGACTTGGGCTTTGCGATGCATGCTAATAAGTTATCTTTTACTCCGAACCGATTCTGTTTCACATATTCGTATAAATTTCGTACATTTATACCAAGTTCTTCACTAGCTTTACTCCATAAAGGATTTTTTTCTGGAAGTAAACAACCTTCATTGTCAAATAAATTAAAATTATTAAGTACACTAAGTCGATAGCTGTGATCTACAGCGCATTTCCACGGCGGCATTACTAACAAGTGACAGATATCCTTAATATTCAAAAATTAGTTATAATTGAGAGACTACATGCAAAAAACTTACTACATGGAAATTTTATTTAGAAATTGTAACACGGATCACTACGATTAAAGCTACAATTTTTTCAGTAGTGTTACGAATTTTGGACAAGTCAAAACTTGAAAGGGGTGCCTCTGCCTCATAGCCTTATATATTTTAATCGAACTAATAGAAAAGGCGCCATCTGTATTTCGACTATTTTGGTACTACAGTTCGGGCGCAAGAGCCCGCATGACGTCACAAGAAAGCGCCAAATACAAACATCCAAGTTTTTAAAATAGTTTTATGATTTTTTACGTTGAATAGATAATTTTAAAAACTTTTTTTATCATAAACCAAACAAAAATTAATTAGGTTTCAATATTCTATTAATCAAGCTTCACTAGACAATTTGTTTTAATTGGCTACTTTTAATAAACTTCATAGTAAAATTACCTCCATTGTAAAAATATATTACAAATAAACAATGAACGATGCCCTATTAATCTGAGTA